TTGAGAACTTCCTCTTGCAAGCGAGCATCATTATCATCATAAGCTCGAACAAGCATGGGCAGTACATGCAAAACAAGGTGTTCTTGACTAGCCTGCCAGGAAGAACACAACACGGCCTTACAATAGCTACAAAATTCCCATTGCTGAAGAAAAGGTTCGTGTGAAGAGTGAATATAAGCCTAAAGAAGTGTCATTCAGTACCTTGTTTATAATAAGCTCTGCATGCTTCACGAGTAGCAATAATGTCTCACCTGCAGCTGAATTGAAGACAGGCACAAGGGCTGGTAGAGTTGATAGCTCAAAATCATTTTTATCCTGAAGCAAATTATAAGAGCATACTCAAGCCCAATGGTAGCCTTGGCAAAATCATCAAATAATGTCATATATGGTATGAAATATGTAGAGGTGTGGTGCATGCGAACACACAAATACATCAGATCATTAGAGTTAAACTTCTCATATAACATAAAAGAAGCAACAATAATCATTGATACACATTTCTTGCACTAACCATCAACCAAAAACAGTGTTACATTTCCCCTACTGCCCAACACTTTACTAGTCTTTTTGCTGTTTCATTAAATTCCAAGAAAAGAACTAATGCAACTCTCAAAGTATAAATTTACATAAGCGTACTAAATCATAGAAGCAATATTATTTAATATGTATGACAAGTAAACAAATACTAACTTGCAGTACAGTCGTAGATGCATTAGTATAGTACCTGCGACTCAGCTATAGTGAGGACCATAGGCAGAATCATAGGTTGCATTACAATATTTCGGAGCTCTGCACAAAGTGGGGGGAGGACCTGTATGCATAATTTTTAGACAAAGTTCAAGTTATTAAACTTTTTTGGATGCAATGAGGGATGAATTCAAGAAAAAAGTATAATTGTATATTCTTTACTCACTTACAAACATCGCAGACCACTAAAGGATTTATTTAATAGTTTAATACATCAGTTCAGGTTCATGGTAAGATTTAAGAAGTGACTTCACGAGTTGAGAAAATTATCCAAAACAATAGTTGAATGCATTTTCATTTTTCGTTTTTCGCCCAAATGTAGGAACAATATTAACCAAAAACGCATACCTTATATCGCAAAACACGGGAGTCGAAGTCTTTCCACATGTCCGCTAGTGCTTTCAGAAACTCAGATTTTTGCATGTTATCTCTCTCCTGAATACAGTAGCATGATCAGATTTCATAGTTTAGAGTTGTATCGTATGCCTAAGTAATATGTCAAAATTGAGAAAAGAGGTAAATTGCGTACAAGCATGTGATCAAGAAAGCGAAGTGCTCGCAACCTAGTATCCTGGCGGAAGAAAGGTGAACCTGGGAACACAGACAGAAATCTTGTAAAAGATAACTACACATAGAGCAAACGTTTTGTTGCAGCTTAAAACGCAGATAAAAAATAATAAACCTAAAAAAATAAAATTATATCACTTAGTCATTCCTATTGATTTACCCATACATGCAACACAGAAACTTCATGTGTCTAGTAATTTTAAACAAGATAGGGAAGGAGTCATAACCAACTGGCACCAAACCTCACCTGTAAAATCCATTGCTGATGGTCTTGAAGTCTCATTAGCCGATAACATACTTTGTAAATCTTGAACTAGATCCCTCGGAATAGCAGAGAAGGCTTCACTGGTGAGGTAAGTCAGACTGTTCGTGTACTGCAAAATATAAATTGTAATCGAACAATATTATTTACTCTCCATGCATAAAGAAGCTTATCAAAAGCAAAATTTTAAAAAATAAAACAAAACATGCATCTCCGTACTAGTAAAGCTCATCCCATCAAAATATCTGAATCAAGTACAATATTTTTCGTTTACCCCTAGTTCCTTTTTTAAGAATAAAGCTACCAAATAATATGTCAATAGATCTGCTATGAAAGAACCCACCAAAAAGTGTGAGGTATAACACAACTGTATCTGCTATGCAATCTGAACATATAAAATTATAACATATTCGCTTCAGTCCAAGCTAGAAACTTGGACATAATGCATATAGTTTTTTGCAGTTTTGGCCTACTACTGAAACCACAAGAGTTTAACAACATCAAACTAGAGTCTAGATAGTGCACAGTAAATGATCGCTGGAAGCAAATATAATTAGCAGAATATATCATAATTCATAAAGCAAGCTCAGCTATATTCGCATATAAGATAACAACAGAATCATTCAGCAACACAGTATACAACAAAGTCAGAGAAATGAATATACCATTTTCACATTGTTGTGGCAATCAAATAAAGGCTTCCGAGCTATCAAGTGGTACGCAAGGCACCCAAAGCTGAAAATATCAGAGGCAGACCCAACTGAAGATGTCTTACTTCTAACCAATTCAGGAGCAGTGTAGTTTATAGAAGGCTGCAAGGGCAGGATTGAATCTTCTACATCGTATTCCTGTTAAACCAAACCAAGTTCAACCACGCTTCATATAACTCAAATTGCGCTATGTATCACTCAAGTTATATTAAAGTTGATAACTTTGGACATAAAAACGAACTAGTAAGAGGACACTTTCATCAGCGGTAGAAAAATATGAAGTGCCTATTAAGATAGTAAAACCTCTCAAACAAATTAGTATAAACCAGACGCACTGTTTATGTATTCACTATTCACCATAATTCCACCCAGATATTGGGCAACGTACTGGCTTTCTTTGTGAATTAACAACATTAATGACCACTATCTCACAATACCGTCTTATTCCTAATTAGGGAATATAAAGCTGTAAGAGCAGTATAAATCTTATTTCATCCATTCATAAGTAGCACCATGAGGTATTGTGAAATAGGTGAACACTACACTAACCAAAAGCAGAAAATGTGAAATTCATTCAGAGTGAAAGTATAACTTACATAAAACAAGATTCAAGAAGCGATGAATGGAGACATATCTAGTTACCACACTCAATAAATGTATTACTCACCGCATAATGGAATGCCTGCATGCTAGCAGAATCATTGGCCTGGTCTGTTGAAATTGCAAAACCAAAACCACCAAGCTTCCAAGCTCCATTCGCAGTAATGAGCACAGTCTACCACAGCATAAACGTCAAATCAGTTCAGCCAAACAACATAACATTCCCTTCCAAGACAACTACTACAGGTAAATGCATATTATACACTCTTTTTTTATCAGTACATATTATACATTCTTGTATTCAAGCCAGCTCAACCAGATCAACAGCTCTTTTACATTCACCTTCTTCCCATTATATACTGCACAGATGCTTTTCCAAATATATAGTGGAAAACATTCATAGGCCAACAGTTCATTATTCTTCATTCTCATAAATATAACACAAACAGATTTAAAAGGAAAAAATTATTCACTGTACAGATGCTTTTCCAAAAGTACAACAGAACTAATAAACAAAGATTAAAGTTTTGAATCATATGTTTGTGTCTCTAGGAAAAGCATCACCGTCACTCTTTCTTACCACGCCTACTCAAATGTAAATGAAAATTGAGGATCCAAGAAGGTAAGTATGAAAATTAAAGATGATAAAAATGAACTGAAAATTTTTCAACTCAAAACCTTCTAAAAGAAGAGGGAATTCCTAACAAAATGAATTAATAAGGATTATCATTACCTCAGGCGATAAAGCTCTATGGATGAGGCGGGCATTATTATGAAGGAAGTCCAATGTCTCTGCAATTTGGAGCAGGCCATGCTTCACCTCCAACAATCCCATTTCCTGCAGCAAAGTACATTCATACACTCAGAAGTTCCCAGAAAAAATTGGGAATATAATCAACGCAAATGATAACCAACTCAAATAACATGGATTATTATAACAAGCACCACAAAAAATGAAACGTTAACCTTCAAATCGAGATAAGTAATCCAAAGTTGCCAAAGATCCAAACTCCATGTTGCTATGCTCAAATTTGTCAATAGGAGGAACTACTTATACTTATAGCTATTTTAGCGCATAGACATCCAATATATATACACACATACATCAGATTACAAAAACTTCAAGTTGTTGACAAGATAATCTACGAATACTTACACTGATGAATTCAATGAATGAACTCAAGATAGTCCACTACTATAGCAATCTATTTCTACTTTAACAGACAGGCTGGATGGTAGCAAACTTTGCTTCAGTCACCATAGTCCTTGAAACATCATGAAAATCCAAAATACTAGGCTCCATTTCCCATAAAACAGAAATTCACAGGGAAAAAACGTGATCTTTTTTTTGCTCTACTCTATGTCCCAGTTGGTCACCAGCATAGTTTATTTATGTTAAACTCGCAAAAGGCAGAGAGTCATTCAGAGACATCAAATGCTAGCTCACCAAAGTTTCAGCACAAAGTCCAAATAGAAGAAACCCAGATTGAAAAATCATCCCTTGACTTAATCAACTAACAAAAACTTAAATTGAATTGAAACAAAAGCTCATACCATCCCCTTAAGCTCCTTAGGCACCTTAGGAATGTTCTCCACATTCCCCAGCGCATTTGCGGCTGATGCAAAGAGCGGCTCGGTGACCATAGCCATGGCATTCTTGCTTTCATCGAGCGCCTGGACCACGTGAACCACGCCGGGGTGCCTCAGCCTCACTAGCCGGGCCGCATCAGCTCGAATCACATCCAGGAACGCATCCTCGGCTGCTTTCGACAGCCCCGCTCGCTGCCGCGCCTCAGCCAGCGCTTTTTTATCCAACACCCAAACACAGACAGTCGGATAGGCGGCCGGCAGGTGGCCATCACGCGACTTGGCTGAGTACAATTTCCAGGCGAGGCCAGGGCCGGCGGTGCCGATCTGATCGATTATGTCGTAGTCCTGCATCGGCCTAGGTAGACCTGTCACTTCTTGCACCGTGTTCTGAACGGTCTTCTCGATGACGGCCGACGCCTTAGCGAAGGCCTGCGACAAGGTTTTCATGTTGAGGGACATGATTGAGGTTCGGCTGGGCGATCCGAGACTGTTCCAAGAGGTTGTAGGTGAGGTGACGGCGGCGGATGTGGTGGTTGGTGGTGGTGGAGGTGATCGGAGATTCGGATGCCAGATCTCAAACCCCTGTTTTCTCTCTCTGGCTGTTGATACGCGTGGGTATTTTTCTCTTTTTCTTCTTTAATTTTGCGTAAATTTAAGGGGATTAAATGCCACGTCGGAAATTGTCGGGAAATAGAGTCTAGTTTATTAATTTTGGCCTTTGGGTTTACTTGTGTCCTGCGCCTTTGTAAATGTTTGGTTGTAAAGGGGTAGTTAGAGCACCCACCATGTTTTAGGTCTCTTTTTGTATATATGGCAAATAAATAAACTTAAGTCTATGCTAAAAAATTCTAAATCTATCTAATGTGAAAAAAAAAAAAGTACTAGGTCTATATACCTAACAACCAATAAAAATATAATAATAGTAAATGATTGATATTGTAAGGTTCACACTTGGGTCCAAAATAGACTCAAGGGTGGACTTGGTCTCTTTTTTTTATTGCCACGTAAGCTAGACTAGGTCCACTTTTAATTGCATTGTGAAATACTTTTTTATAGACTAAGTTTATTTCCTACATGGCATGTGAATTTTTTTAAAGAGACCCAAAGCATTGTGGGTACTCTTAGTAGTCATCCGTCAAGATGAAATAATTACGTTAAGATTAAAACAATCGGTTAATTTGTTAATTTAGTTTCTGCGATTGATAAATAGTAATATAAGACAAATTATGAAACAATCGGCTAATTGGTTATGTCAATCATCAAGCTTGTTAGAATATCACTTGTGAGTTGTCTCACATCGTTTATACATGGAAAATAGACACACCTTATAAGACTAATGAGCTACTCCTCCTTCGTTTTGGGATGGAACCCCATTTGGGCTTCATATGGGCTTTTTCCCGTTCATGGTGCGCTTCATGTCATTTTATATACAGAATTTGTCTTTGTTTGATCATATCTTTGTCATTCAATATCATGATGAAAATGACGATATGTTTGTTTGATCATATCCCCCTTATATATTAATTCAGAACGTGTTGAACCTATGTGGCAGGCTCGCATGCTTGGTAATCCTATGTGGCAAAATGACATGCTCGTTATTAGGCTTGGATAGATTTAATTTACTTCTAATCCAAAAATATTTAGGTTCGGATTATCTATAAATATGTTGATTATTTATGGTAGGGGTGGGCGCGATTCGGGATGGTCCTGGATTTGACTTGTCCGGATACCGATCCCACTTTTATGAATTGGTCCATGAACAGCCCGGGATGAGGCACCGTCCTCACCCATGTAATACATGGGTGTTGTACTAGTCTTATTTTAAACGTTTAAATGTATAATATATCATATAATAAATTATTATCCTTCTACTTAGGTTTTGTGATTATGAACGCATACAAACTTTGACCCTCCTTTATATGTATTTATTTGACTATCCAAGAGGTATGAGGATATACGATATGTTTTGTATTTGTTATTCTGCCTACTTAGAATGGGATGGTAGACCGCGTGAATGAAACTATGATACTTTGATAATAACTAGGGTTAATTGCCTTAAAAATTACAACCTTTAGTTAAATTGCAAATAAAACTCAAGGTTTTTATTTTAGCACCAAAAATACCAACCTTGTTTATTTTTTGCAATTGTGCCTCGAACAGAATTTTTGGTCAATACTTAATGACGTGGCGATCAGAAAAAATGACATGGCACACCAATTCAATACTTCCTGCCACGTCATCAGACACCTGTTTTGTACATCACACATATTCTCACGTCACCTTCCACGTTATTTGTGAATTAATCACAAAATTCTCCAAATTGAGCCCCAAAACTCAGAAAAAAAAAAAAAAAAAAAAAAAAAAAAAAAAAAGAAGAACAGATACGAGCTAATGTCCTTCAACCTCTTCACCGCCACAGTTCCCCGATTGCCTTCGAGCACGGCCTTGTAAACCGTGCCCAAATTACCCTTCCCGAGCACCTCAGCCGACAGCACGGAGCAAATCCTCGAGCTCAAATCGATTCTTCTCGTCGAAGAAAACGAGCCAGTTTGTATGCGTGGGGCCCGTGCCTCCTTCGTTATCTATAAACCCCTTATGGCTCAAGTGGCTGCTTCATTTTCCGCCCTCACTTGCCGCTAGCGAATTTGTTGAGTCGGTTTTGGTTTTCCGGCAGGAATATCGCCACGAGAAGAGCACGAGCATTAGAATCGAAATTAGTGTGGTTAGGGATATTAATGTTCTTTTATTCATCCTTTTGGGTTGATTTTCTGGTGGAGTTGGGGAAGAGGTTGGATTTGAATTGGTGGAATATGAAGAGCATTTGGTGGAATTAAGGCAGAGAGCTTCATTGCCGGAAAAGCTAGTCATGCCGAATATTGTGAGTAGGGATTTTGATACTGACCCATTTAATTTGTTGTTCGAGAAGTTCAGATGACGGAGATTTGGGAGTGAATCTAGGGATTTGGGGATTTGGCCGGTGATTTGGTTCTCTTGGAGATTGAGGGTTACGAGGCGGGACAGGGCGAAGAGATTTTGAGGGAGGCGGGACATGGCGGAGAGGTCGGACGATCGGGCTAAAGTTCGGCGGCGCCTGAGCTAGTATGTGCAGCGGCCGGGCAAGGGAGCAGGTAGTCAGCGAGAGACCTGTATGTATTTTGTGTGTGTGTGTGTGTGTGTGTCGGGTCTTTCTCTTTNTGTGTTGGGTCTTTCTTTCTTTTATTTGTGTGTGTTTCGAGTGTGTGAGGGTTGATGATGATCTGTGGTGGCGTCTGAGTGACGTAGCATCCTACGTGTACGCTGACGTGGATGCCACGTCATTTTTCCGATCAGTCATGTCAGCAGAATTGGCCGGAATATGTTTTCGAGTTAGGTATTGTCTTGCCAAATTAAAAAAGATAGAGTTTTATTTGCAATTAACCAAAAAGTTATGATTTTTCTTGCAATTAACCCTAATAACTATGATACTTTGATAATTGATACGGACCTCACCTTACCACTTGAGTTAGTTGAACGATTGTACCATTGAATCCAAGATTCAAGATACATGATATATGGAATAAATGCTCTACTTTGGTTGTATCCTTGGCAAGTTCATTATTCATGGCTCACATAAAACGGCCCATGGCCCTAGCAGTCTTACTGCCCCCATTGGATATTTGTAGTTTCAAAAGAAAAATACGGAATCAATAAAAGGCTGCTGCAAAAATTTGACTTGCCAAGATAATGAAATATAGTAGGTTACCTAATTCATGTGGCTGTAGGATGATAGGTTCATCATAACACAATTAAGAAAAAAGCATTTGCACTGCATATTAGTACAAAACATGATCTATAAAGAACACCAACAACCTAAATTGAGTGATAAATTCGATCCTACCAAGGTAAACACTAAAAAAAACCAGTGATCTAATTTTACTAAATTGCACATAAATGATAATAAAACGAATAAAAAGGATGAGAGATAAGAAGAATAGAATGACAATTAGGATGCCAACTTGTTTGCAGGAAGTGCGGACCAATCCGTTCACATGTTAGCATGTTATGTTAGGTCTCAAACACCAATACTGACACTGGAGTTGATCAAAAGATGCAAATTTAACCACCCAACAGGCACAAGGTTTCGCTTTTTCACAATTCTTCATGGAGTTTGGGCCCCTTTCCACAACTGGATGCGTAGTGGACTTTTCTATTTATTGCACCACCAATATTTTCTTTTGTATTCTTCCAAATTAAAAAATGAACTCCCCAAATCCTCTTCCCTCAAAAATCCTTGTAATATTTGCTGTTTTGGCCATCCGCTGCTTCTTATCCGCATCGGCCAGGTGCCACGTGGACGATGAGGCCGGGCTGCTGGGTTTCAAATCGGGCATCCGGTCCGACCCGTCCGGCATGCTGGCCTCCTGGAAGAAGGGCACCGACTGCTGCCAATGGTCAGGCGTGACGTGTCTGTCGGGATCCCGGGTCACTGCCCTGAGCCTCTCGGGTCGACCCGGAAACCTGACAACCAGCCTGTCGGGCACCATCTCTTCCTCCCTCTCCAAGCTCCGGTATCTGGATGGACTCTATCTCCAGGACCTCAACAACTTAACCGGGCCTTTCCCCAACTTTCTCCATACTCTTCCCAATCTTCTCTTCATCTACATCGAGAACAACGCGCTATGCGGGCCCATACCCGCTGACATCCGGAGGATTGCCCGGCTCGACGTGCTGAACCTGGAAGGAAACAGATTTTCCGGGCCCATACCGAGTGCTGTCGGCGAGTTGACTCAGCTGACCCGGCTGCAGCTCGGCCGCAACCGCCTCTCTGGCACCATCCCCACCAGCATCCGGCGGCTGAGGAATCTGACCCAGCTGCATTTGGACCGGAACCAGCTGTCCGACACAATTCCCGACATATTCTCGGGCCTCACCAGCCTCATAAGCGTGCGCCTCTCGGGCAACATGCTCACCGGGACGATTCCCCCAAGCATTTTAGCAACCGCCCCCAACATTCGCTATCTTGAGCTGGGAGGTAATTCCCTGACCGGCCCGATCCCTGATTTTCTCGGAAAATTTCGGGCCCTCGACACGCTGGACCTCTCCCGGAACAAATTCTCCGGAACCGTGCCAAAGACTTTCGCGAACCTGACCAAAATTTTCAATCTTGACCTGTCGCGCAACAATTTAGTCGACCCTTTTCCGAAATTGCACGTAAGAGGTATCGAGTCCCTCGATTTATCTTACAATAATTTCCATCTAGGCGAAATCCCGGAATGGGTCACGGTTTCGCCCATCATTTACTCTCTGAAACTGGCGAAATGCGGAATCAAGATAAAACTCGACGACTGGAATCCGACTGAGACTTACTTTTACGACTACATCGACTTGTCCGAGAACGAGATTACTGGAAGCCCGGCGAAGCTTCTGAACAGGACAGATTATCTCGTGGGCTTTTATGCTTCTAACAACAAGCTGAAATTTAACTTGGAGAGTACCAAGTTTGCTAGGACGTTGAGGTTTCTGGATCTGTCGAGGAATTCGTTGTTCGGGAAGGTGCCTAAGGCTGTGACAGGCCTGTCGAAGTTGAACGTGAGTTATAATCACTTGTGTGGTCAGCTGCCGGCGACAAAGTTTTCGGCTAGTGCTTTTGCCGGAAATGATTGCCTGTGTGGGCCACCGTTGCAGAAATGCAAAGCTCGAGGATGATGATGATGGTGGGGTCTGTAACTGCAACATTTTCTTACCCCTAATAATAGTTGCAGGTTATGTGGACCACCGACCACGAAAAGTAGGCAAAACTGCTTACTGCTGTTCTACAATATGCATAAAGTCAAGTATCAAGTTGCGTTGATGCCAATGTGCATGTGGTTGTACAATTAACATTTTTAGTGCATGTTGAATAAATTCTTACAATAAATGTGAGTCAGTTAGCTGGAGATTATGAGTAGAATGAGAAAAACTACTGAAAAAGCAATCAATCAAATAAACAAAATAGAAAATCATGAATTCTTCCTCAGTTTATGAGGTGAATGATTATAAAGAACAAGAGATAGTAATCAACTGTATCCGTCAGTATACTGAAAGATCGCATTTTAGCACATCCAACCCAACCAAATGGCTTGAAAGCAACATGTGGAGTTCTCAAAATATACCCATGTGACACAAACTTATCAGTTGTAAAAGGCAAAATGAAGCATATACACACAGAATATACAGTAAAATATCCAAGGCCTACGCATTTGCTCAATTCAACACCGTGTCTCTTGTCTTCCACGCAATATGTTTTGTTGAGTTATCTAAGACTCATTATAGGCCAGGTGGTAGTCGAGCCAACAGCAGGCAGCGAGGGTCGAATCACTGGAACCCTTCTCACAATCGAGAAAGCTTCATTCAGTCGGGCAGCACGGCTCATAACTTGAGATACCTTCTGCAAAAACAAAAATTGAACAATGACAAAAGATAAAAGTTCTTGGTCAATGGAACACTCAATTACACAAGGAATAAATACTTGACCCATCATTCATCAAGGATGCTAATTGCAATATGGTAATGTACAAATGTGTATCGAAGTGGGTTATTTTTGTGGTTTTTTTTAACTTTTAAAAGATGGTTGAGTACTTATTCTATAAGTAAACTGAATCTCAGGATTAATTTATGTAATGAACTTAAATAAAGTCAAATAATTTAAGCTTGTAGTACGACACATATGTACTATATGTCTGGAAAATCAGTTCCGCCACACAAAGAGAGCCACCATGCATCACCTACTACATACATTTAATAAATAGCTTACAATTCCTGTGAGGATAAATTTCTTCCAGACAATAATTTATCCCGCCTTCTGCAGATCTTACAATATTCAAACATACAAGTCCCAGTCATTCATAAATTTCAACGCAGACATATCCATAAAGATGGAATAATTAAATCATCAATGTGGCAACTGGCAACTACCATTTTTATGCAATAAATAGCCTAGTTCAGTAGTTCAGTAGTGAGCCATTCAACAAAAAATAGATCTAGTCAACATGTGCATACCTAACCGCAAATACTTAGTACAAATTATGTTTAGAATGAACCATTGCTTGAGAACCATCACAAGGGCCTAGGTTTTTCAGACAGAAGCCAAATGGCAAGAGCACAAGCACCCTGATTCAAAACCAGCTGCCTCTCACAAATCTAATGTTCAAAATGAGACTGTAATCTCCATCAGATATCGATCGATTGTGACCAAACAACATTTCCTCTAAATAGCAGATGACATACTTTACAATCAAACAAAATTACTGAGTCTCAAGTGATTACCACATAAATTGAAAAGTACACCTTTTCTCACCTAAGTATTACAAAAATATCAAGTTCTCCCCATTTTATTGAGTCTCTTGGAGTATTTGCTTAACAAAATAGGTCAAATTTGCAGAATGGACACAATTAACCAGGTTACTACGAACAAAGTATGATCAACAAAGACGAATCCAACTTTATATGCTAAAAAACGTGTCTTCTGATCAACACACCACCAAGAGGTAAACCATTAAAATAGATACCAATCCAATCATTCAGTTTCTTACACGATAGATAGCACACAACCAAACAATTATTCATAATCACACAAAAGAAAACAGTACATATTTTCAAATAAATCTCTCACTATTAACACACAAGCAAGCTTTCATCTCCAATTGTGTAATTCTGCAAATGCAATAAATAGATACCAGCACAGAAACACGCAAGTAACTACAATCCAAGAGAAAGCGCTAACCTGGCCATCAACAGTAACCTTGATCTCCAATCCCTTGGTCCTCTTCTTCATCTTGTACAGCCTTCGGCCCAAAATGGCAAACCCCATCATAGCAGCAGCTGCAACCGAGACGGCCCACACAGGGCTCATTCTAAACACACAGTACTTAAGAAACTCTACCGGCATCTTCCACCACACCACGCTCCTCTTCTTAAGCTCGCCATTTTCCTTGCTCCCGCCATCCTCCATAACCTCATCCCCACTCTCGTTCCTCTTCATGTCATTATATTGTTGGCACGAAACCTCCGGCTCGAGGCGCGAGTCCACCTCCGTCGCAACGTCTCCGTGTTCAGTGGAGCTAATATCGACTCCCAAATCCTCCGCCTTTTTCCCGTCCTCCTCCAATATTTCGCCAACTCCTTCAACCCTAACTTCCCTTTCCACGTCATGGGAAAGAATCATTTCCTTTCGCGCTTCCATTTCGCCAAATTTCCTGTCGTCGGACCTGTCGCTGCCGGAATCGGACCAAAACTCGCCGGACTCCCTATTGATGAACCGGGTCGGTTTCCCCTCTGACCCGGGATCGATCCAGCTGGGATTATCGGACTCGGCAGCGGATTTATCATCATCATCCACGTCCTCCCCGAAACTATTCTGAGCATCCAAGGAGAAATAATTGACCTGGATCAAACCTCCGGCATCAATCTCGTTGAAAGACTCGCCGGAGTCGGGGCAGCTGAGCGGGGCGGAATCGGAGTCAGAGCTGGAGTGGAGGAGCTCCCAGTCCTGGAATTCGGTGGTAGCCATATGGGCTGGGAGAGTGAGAATTGGATTTTTGATTCAGATGAAACGAGAAGAGGAGAGAGAAAATATTGGTACAACAGAGCAGATAGGGAGGAGAGAGAGACTGTGTATGTGTGTGCGTGATGCGTTTCTCTTGTGTTGGGGAAACTGGAAAGGCTGAAAAAATCCATTAATAAGCTGATAAAAACGCTTTACGAGTCATAACTCATGGAAAAAAATAAATAAATAAAAGAGTCATAACTCATAAACCTCCCTAACCACAGGTTCGGCTCGGCTCGGCTAATTGTTTCAGTCAAGCTCCACCCGTACTATCTCATTAAATTTTAGCCGTTGATTCATGCATAATCGTGTGCCTTAATCCAACGGCTAAAATTTCGAGGGCTTTTTCTACATGATAGGATGAAATCGTTCATTGTTTTGAACTTTTAAGGTGTGTTTGTAAAAATAATTTGAAGAGTTAACTCAAAGTGAGTCTTTTTAGTTAACTAAGATTAATTTAGAAAAAATTGTATAATTAGTTGTTAGTGGAATTTTGAGTTTATATCAAAATAATATTTAAATTAAATAATTAAAATTAGTTTGATATAAAAGTAGGATAGAGATGATATGAAGTGGTGGTTAGTTAAAATTATATAAGTAGATGAACAGTGAATTAAAGTTGATATAATGTGTAAAAATAATTTATTGTTATTATTTAAGGATTGATTGTTATTATTTAATTATATTGATAATATTGAGGATAATAGAGTTGAGTTAAAATTGAGTTAGATTTTGAGTATGAATTAATTTGGTTTGAAATTTTTCTTTTACAAACATAACCTTAGCGTCCTTGGGACAAACTCTTAATCATAAAACAAAATAAAAGTATTTATTTAAAATACAATATTATTGTGATATTTAGCTAAAGTTATGTCTAATTCTGGTAATAAAACGACATAAAAGTATTTATTTAGAATACAATATTACTCTGATATTTAGCTAGTACGTAGCTTATTGATTGAAATTATCAATTTTAACTAGCTAGTTGATTGAATCTATATATATATAATAAGAATTAACATTTACCATAAATAGTAGTAAGAAAAGTCAAACCACATTCATTATATACTATTTTCAGCAATTTCTTTATTATACATTTTAATTTTAATTCATTATCAAAAAATTGGATGGTTTCTAAATTAATGGGTTTTAGATGCTTTCAAAAATTATAAAATCATTTAAAATCGAATAGTTCCTAAATTAATGTTTACAAACTTTTCAAAGTTGTAATCTTTATGGCATCTTTTCTTTTTGATTTTAATAATAAAATCATTTTAAATATATATATTTTAATCCAAAAATTCAATCATGTTAATATATATATATGTAATATATATATATATATATATATATATTGAACGCTAAAAATATTCTTTAAATTGCATACCCAATCAATTAATCTTGATTTTTTTTTTAAATTACTATGTTTATTTTTTATTAATATGCATAAAATAAAAATAAATAATTCATCTTTAGATATATAATTTACAATCTTAATATACTATTATTTGGTGTAGACATATGAATGATAAAATTTTTTTTATTTCATAAAATTAAATATTATATCTAAAGAAAATAAGAAAATTACTTTGGATCAATCGGGTGATTGAATTAGGGTACTGCCAACGTTGATTGAATACTTTTAGGTGATATTTAAAATAGTAAAAAACTTTGAAACAACTTAGTTGGTCCCAGGTAACTAAGTTATATATCAGTTTGACCAGACCAAATCGATTATTGAACCTAAATATAAATTTTAATATTGAAAATACTTTATTACGTGAATGTGATGTAGTCCAAACTTTAAATAATCATATTAACAATACTTTTATGACAACATGATTAATGATTTATGAATATTTATATATCATTTATTATTATTTATGTGAACAAAATAATTATTTTATTATATTTTTTTATTAATGTACGGTAAATATAAGGTTTTCAGAACCGTACCGTCATCGAAACGATCAAGTTATTTTATTAAATCATTTGTGGTTGTTCAAATTTTAATACATAACACTTATATATATATATATATATATTTAGTACTTTTTGTAATTAATTTAAATAAAAAGTGTTACTTAAATATCTAAATAATTTATAAATTCAAATGTTTAAATTAATTGTTAAACAATTTATAGATCTCTATTTTATTTAAATATGTAATTTTATTTAAAATTATTTTTAATGTAACAAAATTTGTTTAGAAAATCGTATCGATCCTACCAATCCACAGACTGGTGTTGAAGATTCGATAGCAAATATTTTATTCAAGCGCACTAGACTGGTTATAAACCGGTTCTCGGTCCATCCGGTCAGACTGTGTCCATCCCGGTTTAATTTAAAAATAATGGATAAATCATGATTAATGTTATTTATTTATTCAATTTATAATACAATCAAAATATTGTTTTCCCGTACATCGCACGGGCCACGCACTAGTTAGGTAATTACATGGTAAACTCTTTGATAAATAAAAATAATTAAATTTGCTATCATCTATTTCAAAATCTCTGGAATCTCTTGGATCCTCTATTTCACACTCAAACAAACTCCTAATTTGATAAAGAATACACTAATCACCTTAAGTCTATATATTTGCATTTTTAGTTGAAAAAGGAATTTTAGGACGTAAAAGGATTTACCAAGTATATAATGGAAGTATATAATATCCATTATGGGTTGATTTGCTTAATCTTCAGCCCTTTCACAACAAATTCGTGGTAAATGAAAAGTTGAAAGATCTATCTAAAGTAGATCTTAAAAGATTTTTAACTTGCGTAAACATATATTAAGTCAAATTTTACCAAACATAGGCATATTTACTGAGAAAGTATGTGGTTCAAATGAGAACCAAGTCCTAGTGTGAGAACCGTGAGAACCGCTATTTTTAATTGTATGTAGTGCTATGATTAATTGTGTTTTAGTGCTATTTTTAACTAGGATGTATTTGATTAAAAATAGCAACAAAATTTTTATTAGCATTTATGAAAATGATAGCACCATGTAATATTAAAAATAGCATCATACACAATTAAAAATAACATCAAATATGGTTTTCACGGTTTTCACACCAGACATAGTTTTTATTTGAACCAGCCCCTACCGAGAAAATATGTAATGCGAAGTCAGTAACTAATTGCAAAACCACTTGTAAGATTTCCTTTCGGCTGCTGTATTTGTAGGCTTTTTGACAAAAGGACTCCACTTTTCTAAAAACGTTTATCTCAATCCCATATTTCATGTTTTTACATTTTCGTTAGATTGGGTTGAAAAATAAAATATTTTTTGTTAATTACTTGGTTACATTGAATCCATAATGAAGGAATATTGTTACTGCTAAAGTAACAAAAGAATGACTTAAATACATGTTGAAACAATTGTCACAATTTAATGCAATTGATACATAAAATGTCATTTTGGTTTTATCAAACAAGATTTATATAATTAAATTGAAAATGAAGCACGAAGTTTTCACCAAAAATATTAATTACTTAATATTATTGTTTTCTCTACAATCATACTAACACAATTATAAACAGAGTAATCATTATTATATTTTTTTTAATAATAAATAATATTTATCCACTAGTATATTTTTAACTTCAATCCTATCAATTAATATTTTATTATTTTTATATTGTTTTAATTTTAATTATTATATTTTTATCTCATGTTTATTCACAATTTTAAATTTACCTAACCTTTTCATTTGGACAAGATTTTTTTTTTAAAAAAAAGAAAAATCTCATATACAATCTACAATTGCACCCCAAGCCACAAACACGAGAAGAAGATTGTTCGCTGCAAAAATAATTATTATCATGATTTTGAATTGTTATTGGTCAAACACCGATTATTAGTTAAATTTATAGGATTGTTGCTCAGATTTTCTGATTCATGGTTTGGCAATGAAAGTCAATATATTTCTACATTTTGTAATAAAACTGATTATGTTACGTATTGGAAAATATAATTACCCTATTCTCATGAAGGCAAGTTTTGCAATTTTATGGTCTGTGCATGATCTGCCCTTTTTCATATATAATCCTCATTAGTAAATTCCGTAATATTATGAAAATGTTCACAAAGTAATAAGATTCTGGAGATCATGCAATATTCTGAACTAATGCAGCTGGCAATTATATTTTATCAAAATCAAATATTGCCTGTCAATTTTCAATGAGTTGTAATTAATTGTTATATATATATATATGCTTCGAAACAACCAACTGATCGAATTAAATTTTTATTAAACTTATGAAATGGCAATAATATTTTTCATGGCTCCTCTTTATCTAAGTCTATGCGCCATGTTTTTCTGTATTGTGGATAATTGTGGTGCCATTGAAGCTGTTCAAAGCCCCTTTAACCAAAATTATGTCCCTTCTTGGGGATTTGATCATATCACTTATATGAATCAAAACACGGAAGTTCAAATTCGAATCGATCCTAGCTCTGGTTGGTCGTTGTTTCTCGTGATTTTATTATTGTTAAGATCGTTATTATGTCGATCTTTATACGTAATTTTCAGTTTTGGACTCCAATGCCTTGATTCATTTAGTTTTTATAGTTTAATAAACATTTACTTAACATTTTCTTATTTGGGGATGATATGTACAGGAGGTGGATTTATATCGAGACTCGCATATGGTTCCGGAGATTTTCAAATGAGCGTCAAAATTCCTCCAAATAATTCTAGTGGAATTATTACTACATTTTATGTAAGAATCAAAATTAGGAAATAATTAATCTTTTAATTAGCATCCAAACACAAACAAAGTGAGATTTCATGTTCCAATTATATATTCCATCTCGTGTTTCATTATATTATACTTATGATATGTTGTATATAATAGTATCTTATTTATGTATTTATTTATTATATATACAGTTAACTTCAGTTGGCAATAATGCTCAAGGAGGATCAAATAACGACGAGCTCGATTTTGAGTTATTAGGCCACAATGGACCTCCCTACACACTAAGTACTAATGTCTTTGCTCAAGATTCTGGAAATAGGGAGAAACAATTCCAGCTTTGGTTTGATCCAACGTTGGATTTTCATGACTATAGGCTTTTGTGGAATCCCAAGCAAATAGTGTAATTAATTTCTTTTATATATCATACTTATGTTCATAATATATATATATACATGTCTTACTCATTCGATTTTCCGTGCGTGTATAGCTTTTTCGTAGATCAAATACCCATTCGAGTCTTTAAGAATAACGAGAGGATTGGGGTGAATTATCCGAAGCTTCCAATGTACATACGCGCAAGCCTATGGAACGGGACCCAGTGGCTAGGGCCAGTTGACTGGAGCCATGGTCCATTTTCCGCTAACTACCGTCAGTTTGAGATTGTTGGTTGCCCTTACGATAATTCCAAACCTCAAGATCAATGCATGTCATCAAATTACCCATGGAACGCACCTGATAAGTGGCAGCTTGACCCGAGACAACAAAAATTGTACGAGGATTATACAAAGAGATACACCACTTACAATTATTGCCAGTCCAAATATGTGGCAGACTTCCCCGAGTGCCAGATTTCATCATGAATATATAATAATAAAGATGAGTTTAAATTTCCAAGTATTCTATATGTTTAAAGTGAAATGGAAATCGTATAATAAAGTGGTCTTCCTTGGTTGAATCCTTGCATAATGGTTGTATAAGAACTCTGTGTATGAGCTCGTTATAGATTGTAAAAGGATAAATTATATTCCAGTACCAGATTTGAGATTTGTGGAACTAATGAATAATAATAAAGAAATTTCGGGGCGAAAATGTAAATTCCAAAAGATTATTACTTCATGTTTATTGCGCTTTATAACAGATGAAAATCGTGATGGTCTTTTGCCCCGATTTCAAGGATATTTTGTCATCAGCTTCGGAAGAACAAATGACTCCGACGGCCGCCGTGAACTCAATCGCGCCGCATCAACTCTGCCTCGCAAAGGCTTCCTGTTTAATTTACAGTCGGTATTGTTGGGTGTAAGTCTTTTCTCTCTACCTGTCGGTACATATAGTTTTGGTCAGTTTTTAGTCATCAGTTTTGCTCATTCAATTGCAGGCTGGACGAGTAGAGAGAGCCATTGGAAGAAGCCTTGACCAGCGGCCGTGGAATGTAAAAAATGACGCATTTAATTTGTTTTTCGTTTGGTGAAGCAACTCGGTTTTAATTTTCAAGAAAATAAAAATAAAAATTGAAGCTTGATGACTTGTTCTGTTTTCTGATAAATGACTTTGATTATTTTCGATTTCTCTTGGGGGTTTGCTATTTGAAAGTTCTGCATTGTGCCCTTGGCAAAAGAGAAGGCATCAGAATCGGCACGGCAACATTTTTTTTTTTTTAAAAAAAAAAAAAAAAAACTTTTTGCTAGAATTTTCAACTCAGTGACACTGACACATACACTTGGATTTTGCATTATTAATTTGCTATACGTTCGAAAATTGCTTTTACGGATTGGAATGTTATTACAATGTCTAATATATTCAGCTCTCTTTCTGGGCCTGTGATTTTTTCAGATACAGATGGTTGTTTTTCTCATTTTTATCTTTAGTTTTTGATGTTTGTTGGGAGGAAATTGAGGACTGTGTTGTTTTGGATAAGAATTCTTGCGATTTTAAATTTAGTGGAAAGGATTGAATGTCTGAATTATATTATCAATCACTGGGCTTTCAGGGGTTGGTTTTAACGAAAGAGCACCTATGTTATGGTACCTCAGTGTGAGTCTGCCATCATTTTTACAAAGAACTTTAGAGCTATAAAAGTTGAATTTCTTATTGCACGCTACATCTTTGAATTTCGTTTTGCTATAGGAAACGTAAACCAAAATCAGTGGGAAACCAATTTAACCCTTGAGAAGCCAGATAACCGTGGGAGTTCTTTTGTTAATCCTGATGTGATTGGTTCTTCAATTTTTCATCTTTTGGCTTCGTCTGGTTTTAGGCGATTTGTACGGAATTCTCAGTATACGGAGCCAAAGTCTTGAAGAGAGAAAAGATCAGAGTTCATTGTAGAACTTAATCTTTACTTGGCCTTCATGTTTGTGTTACAGTAATGGTCCTAACTCACAACACCTTGAAATGAATTTGGGATTAATAGCTTTGCTGGGATCCATTTCTGTTTTTTGAAACAATTATGTGAAAATAAATTTATTGTTCATATTCTCCTTCACAGATAAACTTTGTTGGGAGCGCGACATTCAGTGCCTTTGAAAGGCCAGACCTGCTAATCCCCAGAGACATTCAGGCTTCCTTTAGTGTCAGTGATCAAATCCAAAAATTTGCATTTTCAGCGAGGAATACAAAATTGTCATTTATGAGACCCAAAAGAGATAAAGGGAACGAGTCTAAATCTAGCCAGCCAGATCAAAGAAACCAATATTAGTTTCTAACGAAATCCGAGTATGAAGTTGATGGATAGCAGAAAAATTGTACATTTGATGTACTTTTTGTTCCTAGCCTATGCCTCTTATGAGCTATGACTTTTACATACATACAAACAGATGTTCTCAATCACATCAAAATAGCTGCTAACATTCACAAAGGTCTTCTTGCCTTCTGCATTTAGTTCCAGGTTGTGTTTGGATTGCTGGTTTTGGATTCACAAAAGTCATCTTCAAAGCAGGATCATAAATCACACAGTAGAACTAAATGGGTATATAGCTTACAGCATTTACTATCCATTTTATCATGACTCCATAGAAGCTAACTTTAAAATTTAAGTCCTGATCGATCTACTTCAACCGTGCTGTGTTCCCTTTCACATCCAGAGTTCTGTAGTCCACAGTTGCTCTAAAAAAAGGCCATAACTATATTTTCAGAGTTCTCTTGTACACAGTTGCTACTAAAACTTTAGAAGAGAGGAGGAGAAAAGGAGAAATATAATATATAAAACAGAAAAAGAAAAGCACAAAATGAACACAGACAAAGAAAAGAAAGTCGTGGAATAACACGTGCAGCAATATCCAACACTATATCAAACAGAGTTGGTGTCGATTGCTGATCACTCGATTTTCTCTAGCAAAACATAAATTTACACATCCACACACAAATACTACCAATACATTTTTTACATTTAACCAAACCACAAAAATGCACACAGCACCAAATTCAATTTCTTTCATAAGCAGAATATATCAATATACCACCAAAATCCATCAAGAATTAATGAAAATAGGGGGAAAAAAATAAAGCTTTTAGGAAAATAGAAAATCCTTTTTATCCCCTTAGCACCATCCAGACCACCAGTTGAAAATAAAATGCCCACCTCTCCTTCAACTAGAACAGCACCACCAAGACCGCCGCGCCTCCGCCTCACTTCCTGCGCCGCCTCCGCCATCCTACGGCAGAGGCCGAGCTCCCAGTTCTTTCTATTCGGGCTGAAACCCAAGCGGCTCCATTTCTTGAAGCCATGCTCATCCCTTAAAGAAACCAAAAAAAAGCAGCAGCAAACACTCTCAAAGACCCCAAACACCGCGCCCCAAAGTCTCAGACGAATACTGAATCTCAGCGCGAGGGGCGAAAACGATGAGGTTAAAGACGGGGATGCGGCCGACGGCGACGCCGGAGATGACGCCGCCGTCAAAGGCACAATCTTGGCGGGGTTTTTGCTTGTGGGCGTCGTCGGTGGGTTTGGGACCGTTGGGTATATTTACAGAGAGCAGATCAATGCTTTTCTGACTCAATTTTCTGGAATTATTGAAGGTCATTACTTGCGAACTTCTTGTACTCCTATATTGGTTTTTGAGTTGATTGTCATTTGAAATATGTGAGCTTTGGTCTCACAGAAATCCAAGATGCTCTTTTTTCTGTTTCCTTATTAAACTTTTGCTTGATATCTATGTTCAACAGTATTAATTTAGCTGAAATGCTCCTGTGGTGAAGGACTTTGTTAGAATTCAGTTATTCCGATGTTGGTATGGTGGTGAATTGAAGCTATCTTGAGGAATTTAAGATTTGATGTGTGCTGGTTAGTTTGGGCAGTGCACTGGATGGTTGATCAAACACTGTTTCTCATTTTGATTATGGATTGAAATTTGGGTATCGATTGAAATACATCAATTCATCAGGGCGAATTCGACTCAGCATCATGATTTGGGTGTTGGAATTAGAAACATTTCCAGTGTAAATTTCAGAATCAGAAAAGTTGAGCAATCTTTACCAGATAAATGTTTGGATATACTCTTTGAAACTCGATTACTATTTGTAAGTGAGTTTCTGTTAGGGAGTCAAGATGTTCAGTAAAGTAAGACAGTGAAAGCTATTTGTTCCCTCAAGAGCCTTTTTCTCAAGTAGATAGTAAATATTAAGAATGACAATAATAATTTTAATATTGAGAAAAAAATAAAAAATGAATCTCATCTGCTTACAGTGGAGTGTTCTTCTAGCACCTATTACTTTATTTGTCTGGCTTCCTGATCATGCCATCTCTGAAACTCTCAAATATGGAACTGTTATATGTACCCTTTATCCTGTTACATGAAACGCAGTGTATTCAGACTCAAAAATTCTGGCTTTTCTTTTTCAGGTTATGGCCCAGCTGGATATGCTCTTTTCGTCGCAGTTTATGCCGGATTGGAGGTAACAAATTATAAAATAATAAAATTCAATCTTTAGAATTTTATTGAGCTTATGTGTTACCCACCATTCTCCATTTGGATCTTTTCCGCTTACTGCTTGTGATTTTGATTAAATGTAAGACCATTTAAAATTAGTTATGATTTTACTAAAAATAGATTTTGATTGTTTAACTACTTTTAAATTCAAATGGTAACATTCTATTGTCAGCATTCTTGAACATTTGAGAACGGCAAATGAATGTGGCTAGAAACTGTTAATATGCTTTGCCATTGATCATCTTTGTTATTGGTTAGAGTGCTTTCAAGTTCTCGCATAAATGGCTGGCTAAAGCTCATCATGAAGTGATTCAAGCTGTTATTTCTATTGTAGATACTCGCAATACCAGCAATCCCATTGACTATGTCTGCTGGGCTTCTATTTGGATCAGTTACTGGCACCATCATTGTATCCATTAGTGGCACTGTAAGTCTAGAGTCAGCGTAAGTCGACAAAGAGGGTAAAGATGCAAAATTTGGTATTAAAGGTACGTTTTTTCCTTGACAGTTGGCCGCAAGTGTTGCATTTCTAATTGCCAGATATTTTGCTCGCGATCGGATTCTTAAGCTGGTTGAAGGAAATAAGAAATTCCTTGCAATAGACAAGGCTATTGGGGAAAATGGCTTCAGGGTTGTCACTCTTCTCCGTTTGAGCCCATTACTTCCCTTTTCCCTCGGAAATTACCTTTATGGGCTTACATCTGTCAAATTTGTACCATATGTTTTAGGAAGGTCGGTTTAACACTTTCCACCCTCATTTTGATTTGTTTTGTGGTGCGGGACAAAAGCTTGATGTGTGTGAGTTCATGTGAATGATATTATTACTTTAAGGAGAGTTTCCATCTTTCGATTTCTCAAATGATTTGCATGTGTGCATGTGAATGATTTTCAAACTTTATAAGTGAGTTTACAAGTTTTCCCCTTTCGCAAACGATTTCTACAAACTTTATAGATTAATTTTAATAGGTACTCCGTTTTATAGAAGTTTTAATAGGGGATTCTTGAGTATGTCGCCAAAAGTTAGAAAATCTTTATTTATTTTATTTTTGGAGGTACTACTGAAATACTTGAGATTGGATTTGGAAGATTTTACTCCTATAAATATGCCCAATGTTCCTTAACTCAGG